ATTATTCTTGTAAAGTGTACCACCAAATAAATAAACTCAGGCACAGGAATGTTCAAAGAATGTAAAGAAAACAAAAAAAAAATCTCTAGCGCAGCCCTATTTCACTCTATCTGCACTGCATGCACTGCACTACTCCATCTGTTCTACTCTATCTGCACTACTCTATCTGACCTACTCTTTCTGCACCACTCTATCTGATCGGAATAGTGGAATAGTTCTGTGCAGCATTGTTCTATTGTATCTGCAATGCCGAGCTTCGTTCCAGGTATCAGAGATTTTTGTGTCAGAGATTGTCATCCACTTCCAGATTTAGAAGGGGGCGATAGGCGCCTCTAAATAGGTGTCTGGTTGTTTTATAAGCCGTTTTATTGTCGGTGGAGATTTCAGCTGTGTGCCTTATGAAGTTGCCATTCTAATGTTCTTTGAGAAGAGAGCGGTTGTTGTTAGAAAGCCGATTTGCTTGCCTCCTCGAAGCCTGGTCGCCCGTCTGATAGGCCCTTTTCCGAATACGATTTTTCAAGCGGATGGTATCTATGATGTGGGGACAGGATTCCATATTTTGTGATTCTGGACATTTTCGTCACAGTGGACATAGCGAGAGCTAGGTGGATCTAGCTAGTCAGTGAGCCCACCGCTTCATCCAACTGTTGAGCGTTCTCGATGTTATTGAAAGAGTTGCCCTCAACGTCCCCCAGCAGTCCTCGGTATCGAGCCCAATCTATGTGATTTATCTCAATGCGCCCTTGTGAGGCAAGATTTGGGTCTACATACTCGACGATTACTGGGAGATGGTCGGAGGTCAGCTCGTGGATGACGGTGGGCTCCGAAACACGATCGGTATTTTTTTGCGACGAAAATGTCCAGAATTTCGGGAGACCCCGCGGAGAAAAATGGGTGGCTTCTTGAGGCGAATATACAGTCAAAATAGTGAAATTGAAGATGTCCGCAAGATTATTCAAGCGGACACCGCATGTGTTGGAAGCCCTGCATCACCAATCTCTAGATTTCGCATTGAGATCGCCTCCTATAAGAATGCGATCATCAACATCAAACATTGCAGTAATAGACTGAGGTGTTAGGATTTTTCGTGGGCTCTTGTACACTGATCCTAGTATCAAATTGTGCTGTCTCAGCTGAATGTCGATGAAAGTCCCTTCTATAATATTGGAAGGGTCGGGATTTGGCAGTTCATATGCCGTAATTCGTTTTGATACTAGGATCAGTGTACCCCCCGCCGCTGTCTCCCTATCATTGCGGAAAACGTTAAAGTTGGGGAACGTGAACCTATTTTGGGGTTTTAGCCAGGTTTCCAGGACTAACAGAATATCAACTTTAAAGTTCTCCGCAAATATAAGGAGCTGAATCTTTTTATGCAATATTGAATTGATGTTGATGGTAGCAATCTTTAAATGACAGGGTTTCAGTGACCTATTAAGTTCTGTGATGGCTCAGTTGTTGGACTTTGGACGACATCGTTTGGGAGAGAAGCTGGATAAACTGCTGCTGCATGTTGAGCATGAACGGCTGCATGTTGTCTTGCATGGATTTCAACATGGCAGCGAGTGGGCCCAGATTCCCTTCCTTCAGCGCCTGGTTGTTCTGGCTGCCCCACTTGAGCCTTAAGGTACGGTTTGTTAGGGCAGTGCGCGACGCACAACTCAACGTTCACATCAGTAGAATCTATTTAGCACGATTTTGACACTGTACCACAGATCACCTACATACAGATGCGAAAGGGCGGCGAATTCGTGGCTCAAGGTTCGTTTAGGTTGACGTAGGCTGGCCGCACCAATGCCGCATCAATAAATTTTGAACATATTTATTATATAAATGCGGAAGCTCAATAATATAATATTATTTCTTAAATTGGTTCACAAACAGCAAAAAAATATTCTTTTTGTACTGCTTTATTTATTAATTACCCGCAAAAATATATAAACACGACAGGTGTCTATGCGTCCGGGGGCTGGCTCCCTTGCGGAGCCGCGGTTTCGTAGCAAAATCGTTCGACGGCAAGGATACTTACTTACGCATCTGTATTAGGTGATCTGTGACTGTACGTCGCGTTCACTTGCGCAATGCCAACCAACCGGTCTTTATAATTTACACTCAGTTGATTTTAACAGACGTGCGTAGCGTTCGACAGAATGTGAGTTGTGCGTCGCGCACTGCCCTAACAAACCGTACCTTCAGCCTGAGTGATTTTGGCCTTGATGGCTGTTGGGTGTTTTGCGCAACCTGAGAAGGAAGCAGGGTGCTCCCCTCCGCAGTTTGCGCAAGTTGGCTTGTCAGCCCGTTCCTTCGGGCATTCCCCAGTCAAGTGACTGTCTACGCACTTGACGTATTTGGGTGGGGCAGTGCATTTCGAAGAAGAATGTCCAAACAGCTGGCATCTGTGGCACTGGGTGAAGGTGAAACTGGCTCTCGTTTTTTGCGACTCAATCTTGATTGCCATTAGTTCAATGTACTTGATGTTAAAAATGCTTCTTTGAGTTTTTGGCAAAACAACGAGGACCAGTGCCATCGAGTCACCGCTTTTATGTGAAAAACGCCTGATTGATAGTGTTTCCCTGTCTCACCAAGTCATCCTTCACACTCTCTTCTGTCCAGAGTTCGGGAACTCCACGTATTACTACGTGGAGGAAACTACGTGGAGGTTCTTTTCCTCCGGAAAGGAGAAAGAGTGGTAGGGGATCTTGGTGTCCCGCATGAATGACGTTAACTTATGGTAGTCGGATGGCTCGGAAGGATGGATTTTGATGCCTTCCGAGACATTTTTTAATATGGAAGTTTTAATGTTTTGAGATTTGATGTAAGAGGTGACCTGATCGTATTTGGCCTTGTCCCTGAGAATCACAGGGGGAATACGATTTCTATTAGTGGGAGGGTTGGTAGGGGCTTTTGGGATGTTGCTTGGAGGTTTGGTGGGATTAATGGGGGTTTGTGTGTTGGTATTGGTGGAGGGGAGTGGGGGAAAGTTAAGGGAATGTTGGGAAGAGCTTTGGTGGTTGGAGCGGCGGTTTTTCCTCCTTCTCTTAGATTTACTGCCCTTCACCGTGGTGAATGCTTCCCCTTCCGCAGCGGAGCCAGAGTCGAGCTCCATTTCCGAATCGGTGGCGGATGTCGCCGATTCGGATGGACCGGGACTCTCACTACGCTACGCAGGGGTGGGCACCACGACAGTTGTTGGATTATTGTTGGAAATCGATTGGTTGTTTGAAAATGATTCTAATTGACTGGTTAGTTGATTGATTTTGTTATTAAGGTTTGAGATAATTTCATCCTGAAGGGCAGTCTTAGAGTTAAGCTTTGAAATTGTTTTGTTCAAATTTTGATTTTGTGACTCTAAATGTTCAATTTTCTTGGAGAAGGAGGAGTTGAGTGAGTTTAAATTATGGTTTTGGAAGGAAATATAGCAGCAATTTTTTCCACTAACCTTTTATTATCTATCTCGTTTGTTCTGTTCCTTGAACTGAGCCGACTCGACAGCTACTCGATTGTGCTCAATCTTGAACGCACGTATTTTCATGTCCACTAGTTGGTCAATAGATCGATCAATCGATTGAGATCTGGATCGTGATAAGGAGGCGGCGTTTCGGGTTTGGCTTGGTTGTTTCAGTCGGTTGCGGCCCGCCGTTTTGTTGCCAGGAGGCCGAACGAGTTGGTTTACCGACGCGGACGCGGATTTGACTTCGTCCGACATGGTTTTAGCGCGCGATTTAAGACTCGGAACTGGAGTGCTTGCAAAGGGAAAAGGAAAACGATTTCTTTGGCTGGCAGCTTAGGTCGTGTTTATGTTAGAGCTGTGATACACGATAAAAGCAACGATACTAATTTATAGTATCATTAGTCTCGTTGCATTTATCGTTTATCACAGCTCCAACATAAATAGGGCCTTATCCTGAAAAGGACCCAGTTGCCTCGGTGAATGCTAGCACTCGAATAACCCCTGCCTCAAGACGTCCCTGTGTATAGGGAAATATCAACTTTCTATAGCACAAATTGAACTCAATTCCAGCTCCTTCTGTATACCTACGAGCTTAAGCGGGTTTTCAAAGATATTCAAGCGTTGCGATACCGTTCACTGAAAATGCGGTGTTGGCATATTTCAGCAACTAGTGGAGATAGAATTCTGAAAATTTAGAATCTTATCAAATTTGACACGTCCAAATTATTGCTATAAAAATAAATGGGGCATTCTATTCAAGATAACAAAAAGACTACTTGTAGGGCAAAACTGGGAAATATGGCAACAATGCCGATATCACGGTTAAATTTCACTTGCTCAAAAATCCCCACATAGGTACCAAATTTCGTATATGTAGTTTCAGTTTTTGTTAAATAGGTATGCTTCTATAAAACAAAATTTCTAGTAAGGTTTTTGATATTTTTCAATAAAATGTCTACGGTTTTTGTTCGTGTCAATAATTCTCTAATCATTCTAACAAATCGTTTATTATTCTTATAGCAAATACACAAAACGTGCGGTTCTGAAGAGATTGGCAAATATTAATAATGGAGGGATTATTATTGATTTACTGTTTATTTGGAAATAAATGATTAATTGAGAATTGAGGTCACATTTTGCGCATTTCGCCATTATATTGTCAGTGTTTATCGTACTTTTATTTATATTAGAGTACTCCAGAAAAAAAAATTATTACGATTAGCGTTGGTGTAAACAAAATAATTATCCAACACCATTATTTAACTGACGAAGCCTCTGATGTTTGCCATCACATAAGTAAATCCTATTAGACGATTTCAATTATCGTCAATTAGAACTAATTTGCCATAAAGTAGGTACTAATTAAATTTAAATCTAATATACCTACTACCTTTATAGTAGAAGGATTCACACGTGATTTTGTTTTTAATTTTTTTTTATTGGATTTTTATTTCAGTTTGAATTCCTTTGTGAATATTCTATAAATAAATTACCTATCTTAGAATAAACCGCCTCCTAAGTCCTAGTAATATTCAATTTTTTGTTCTTTAAGGGTGGAGATCCAACAGAATCACTAGCAAATCCACATTCAGGAGAAGATCCTGCGGACAAGCCTGACGTACCAAGAGCAGTTAAAAATTGGCCACAGGAAGACTTGAAACTTGGACAAGTTTCAGCAGTTTCTGTGAATTCAGCCTTACAGCCAGTGATTTTCCATCGGGCTGATCGATTATGGGATCAATAGTGAGTATAAAAACAAGCGTTAATTTCTTTCTAAGAATTGAAGGAAAAAAAGTAAGAAATTGGAAGTAGATTACCTGGGGGCCTGGCCGTCCAAATTATGAGCTAGCACAGAATAAAACGATTTCGGGTCGAGGGGCGATGAATTACATTGGCGCCACTGACTTATGGGCAAAAAATTCATATTTTTAAGGTTCTCTTCTGGATGACCGGAACCTCATAATCTCAAATCAATAAGAAAATACCTGCCAATAAAAATTAAGTTAGGCTAAGGTGCATAAAGCCAATTTTATTCATGGGCTGGAATAATTAAATAAATTGATGAATTAAATGATTATCACCATAACGCTCATTAGGAAATAGACGCATCGGACAACACCATTTTTTGAATAAGTTATACAGCGTGGTTATTTAAGTGTGCAACATATGGGATTTTTTTTAGTAATAGCACAACACAAAGCACAACCAAAATACAAACAAGGCCAAAAGTTTTTGCATGTCTGATAATCATATTAGGTGCACTTAGGCAGGGCACCCACCGAAATAGCGTGGCTTATGATGTGGCGTGTGATCTAGCAAGTAGCACACATCTAGCATGCTACATCAAATTAAGCGAACATAAACAAATAAGCGAGCTCGCTGAAGTAACAAGGCAAGTAACATGCATTTAGTGGCACGTAATAAGGGCCACTTGCTAGATCACACGCCACTTCATAAGCCACGTTATTTCGGTGAGCACCTTAGAATGGTTGCAAGTCAAACAGCATACAGGGTAGCTCAAAAAATATCAAAATTGTACAGTAAAGTAGGTATGGTTCGTTTCACCAGGGTTCATACTTGACCTTGAAACTTGAAAAAAAGGGTTGTCGTAGATTAATTCATATGACACATTCAATTTTTTTGACAAATTAAAATGAATGATTTCGGGTTTAAGAACCGACGAACCTTTTTGACGTCATTGATTTGTTTCAGTCAATTTTTATTTGTTAAACAAGGAAGGCAAATGCTGGTGGCAAGTACAAACCCTGGCGAAACAAACTTTACCCTTATTTCAGAAAATTCAGCAAAGAGTTTTTGGTAATGATTTAGCTTGTTGAACAAAAAATTGCGACATTTTGTGTTGAATATCATTGCAACAAACATGAACTGTTTGATTTTATAAAAAATTAAAAATCTAAGTTAATTTTACAAATATGCTTGAATTTGAACAAACTTATGTAAGATTGATTTGATTTTAATTAATTTTTGAAAGTATTAAGGGCGGAAATAAAAAATAAAAAAAATATAGAAACTATTAATGTTTTTCGAAAAAAAAAATAGAAAAAATCTTAGGAGGCCATGTTTTGGTATTTAGGCATAACTTTTAATTCCAAACAACTTTTTTCAATAACATTTTGCTGAATTTTCTAAAATAAGGGTACATTGAGCTACCCTGTATGCTGTTTGACTTGCAATCTAAGTGCACCTAATATGATTATCAGACATGCACCAACTTTTGGCCTTGCTTGTATTTGGGTTGTGCTATTACTAAAAAAATCCCCATGTGTTGCAGACTTAAATAACCACACTGTAAACCAAGGGCGCAACGTCATTTCCTAAAATGTGGCCAAAATATTTAAGTTTACATTATTGATGGTGAATGAAACTCCAGGATCGTTGATGTCTATTCTGAGCCAGAACATCGGTGTTACGAGCATTCCACAATAGCGCCACATCTCTAATGCCTATAACCGTTTGCACATGGCATCAGGCAGTATCCATGCCTCTACCTACGTCGTAATAAAAAATCTAAATCCATGACAAAAGAGCACTGGAATCTGGATAGTGATATTAAGATCGCTACACAATATTACTAATTTCATTTTGATGAAAGATGCCCGGGCCTGTTTGATTTTTGCGCGGACTTCTTGCATGTTGTTCCAGTTCTATTGAACTGACAACCCAGGGTATTTGTATGAATTGAAGCCTTGGGCTTGTTGGCCATTCACTTCCCTCCAATGTTAGTTCCTTTGACAATAATCATCCATTTTCTTTTTCCAAAATCCAAGTTAAGCCCAAATTGTTTCGTGCAACTCGATTTTAACAACTGTTGCAGACCTTCCAGTGTCTGCATTTATGGCAGTGTCGTCAGCAGATTTTTGATTTTTATGCTGTTTATGGTCAAACCATCTCCGCAGTTCAGAAGTGCTTTCTTCTTATTTTATTACTGTATATATTAAACAACATCATAGACAATATGCAATCTTGGCGAACACCTCTCCTTACACGAAGCTATCCGGATAATTTGCCATAAACCCTTTTTTCAGCTGTCTGGTTCCAGCAGAGGTTAGCAATTATCTCTAGGTAGATCCCTACCATCCAGACAAACTTCGTCGAGATATTCTATGAAGTTTTTGTGTTGGACTCGTTCAAAAGCTTCCTCATATTCTATGAAGCAGGCATATTATACCTACTACCAATACCGGGACTGACACCATCCCTAAGATCACTGCACCAAGACTTGAATACCGAATAAGGCTTCTTTTGTATCGAACCCTCTACTAAATCGCAACTGTGCGTTGCCCAATAGAATCCTCAGAATTTTCCATAATTTTTTTTTTTTTATAGGTATATAGGTAATCGTCAAAAATATTTTCAACAAATGGCACTAATGGCAGGCTGAGTAGGCAGTACTCACTACACTCATTTGCTGAATGCTTTTTAGGCAGTGTAAATGTTGATTTCAACCAGTTTACTGGGGTTCGACTGCTGCGATAAATCGAGTTAAAAAGTTTGACCAAACGTACGTTTTCAGCGAATCTTCATTTTTTATTAGCTCCAAAACTTCCATGTATACCTAGTTGTCTTGTCCTATCGCTTTCTGTTCTTAGCTGAAAATATTGCGTGTTGTACTTCCTCGGTACCTACATTTTTTTTCGAAACCACTGAAACCAGGGACCAACGTTCTTGTGAGAAAGATTGCTCTGTAGTATTTATCAGTGTTACGCGAATATTAATATCTCGGGGACAATGATCCCCCGTTTCAAGAATAAGGAACCTGTGTTGTTGTGTGTTGTGTTGCTATACCATAATCTGGAAATTCCTCTGGACGTTCAAACCGATTTTCACTAAAGCGATTTTCTATGTAGCTCCACCATTCTTTTAATTTTTCTTTGGTATTCAGGAATGCTTTTGTCTTGGTTGTCCACAACGATACCTGCTTGACTTTCAATTAATAATCCGGCCGTTTGCTTCATGCGCGCAAGCAAATTGAAAGTGTCATGTTTAGCATTTATATCTTCTATTCGTCTATATCTTCTATTCCCTGACCATTGCTGTGTTATGCATTCTTGCTTTGCCAACTTTACTTAGTTTTTTATTTCTTCATTAATTTCATTGTATGAGCGTTGCCTTTTTTGCTTGGTCATTTATCCATCGAATCCAATTCTCGTCGGTCATCCAAACATTTTTTTTTCTTGGTTCATCCTTGCACAAAAGTGCTGTGTTATTAACGATCGTATTTTTGCCACCTTTCCAGACCATTTCCGCGTCTCGTTCAGTAAATTCATTTATATTTTCACGCCTTTTGTTTTTTCCGATTTTAAGTTCAGTTGTTGTGGGAAGATTTTTCTTCAGAGTTGGGTATAACTTAATTTTGGCTACAACTAGATTGTGATCAGCGTTTACAACTGTGCGAGGGTGACAATGTGCTGATTCAATGCAGTTTTTGTATCGCTTATCAATTTTATTATTATTTAGTCTATTCGATTCCTCTTTGGAGTGTAAGCGGTTGAGATCAAGGTGTAGGCCTCAGTTGGAAGTTTGAGGATGTGTTTTGTACGACAAAATTTCTTTCATGACATAATTGGAGAAGGCAATTTCCACGGTCATTTGGTACACCTAGACCGTAAGCTCCAACATTCTGAAGGAACATGACACGGTCTATATAGGAACAGAAGATATCAAAGATTTTTGAAGTTCTTGATTCAGAGTGACTGCTACGCCATTATAATAGTTTTCTCCAGGTCTGTTCTCACAAGAGTCTCTGACAGTTTGGAAGCATCGCCCATACCCATACATGTCTTCAATGCCGTCTTAAATGAATTGATAACTTAGCTGAGCCATTGTTTCTGACAAGTTGAAAATTGTCAGAGATTCTTGTGAGAACATACCTAATGTCATTGCCTGCGTAATAAACTGGTGGACAGTTGCTCTGCAACATGGAAAATTTGACCCAAATTCAAATCTCGATATTTGCGGAACGGAAAGAGATATCCAATTGCGGTATTCGGAAGGTTCTTGGCCAACTCTTTGAGAACATGCACAAGGTTTGACCGGTATATTTCTTTCATTTATCCACCTATACAAGGTGAGTAGAGGAAGGCATGTTTTTTTAGCAAAGTTTGGGGCTATGCCAGATTCTCAATTTTTGATCTTGGAAATTTTTATATGCATCTTTTTGATCTTTGGGCTATCCCAAAAAAAGCAATTTCTCAAATTTTGCGAAAGTTCGCTATAACGCAAATTATTGAATTTTTAAAAAAGGGTTACATTTACCCCGAAAAAAGTGATTTTTTCGGGGTTTCGCTTGAGAATGGGTATTTTTTCTCATACTTTTGCATGAAGTGGAATTTCTTGGCCCCGAGAAAAGATTAAAGCACTCATTGAACGTATTGCCTACAGTAGCACGCAGAAAAAATTTGCTTTTAACATTATGTAATTAAAACCTAATTTATAAATTAAATTATACTATGCAATTAAACAGTATAATAAACAAATCCAAGTTACTACTCTTAATACAGGAGTGTATTTCAGTGGCGTAACACCAAGAGCATCTTTTGGTTTGGTGAGAAGAACTTAAAAGTTGGTATTTTTCGAAATGCTATCATGGTCTACACTGCTGTTCATCTTTCATCTGGAATTTTTTAACCTTGTTATTTGGCATTGGCGTACCCGCTTGGATGAAAGGGTCCTTCTTTGAATAACTTTCCGCAATAATGTCTCGACCTCGAATCTTTTTCTGT